ACCTCTGCGGTGCTCTGCGCCTCGCCCACGACCTCACCATTGGGCAGGGACGCTTCTTCCTCGGGCGGCTTTGTCGCCTGCATCAGACAGATTGAAAGGGTGTGAGAATTTCTTTGAGGATATAATAGCTTGCATTTCAACAGCATTTAACTATCCCAGTTAGTTTGTCTCCATCCCTCATTTTATCTTTGCCACAGTGCTGTGACCTCAGTCAGTAGGACAGTCACTACCACTCACACCTTAGAGACTTTGTCTCCATCCCTCATTTTATCTTTGCCACAGCGCTGTGACCTCAGTCAGTAGGACAGTCACAACCACTCACACCTTAGAGACAAGAAAATAAAGGCACATAAAATAGCAAATAAATGTTTTGCCCTTTTTTTTTCATGAGACAAGTGTTATTTCCAAACCCCTAGGAAGGCATTACAATAATGAAGACAGAAACCCAAACCAAATCCTGAAGCAGAGGGAGACGGATGTGCAGGACAGCCAGAAGGACCCCGCCAGTCAGGGGGGACGCAGGGGAGATGCATTCTAGGCAGGGACCTCCGCCTGGAGCCCGAGTCTGTATATTAGTGGGATGTTCTGGGGAAAAGGGGTTGGGATCAGGCATCCTCACCCCAGCAGTCCCACTGTTGCCCTGGGTGATTGGGAGGAAGAGAAGACCGCAGCGAGTGAGCAAGGATGTCACTGAGTCTGACCTTGACATTTCCTTCCTGCTCAGATCCCCAATAGTCCATGAATAAGTTACCCTGCATATCTCAGGGGTTGATCTGGGAAAGCCAGCAAAATAGCCATGGCCTCTGAAAGAAGAGGCAGGGCAGCCTGGCACCGGGCAACAGGCACTGGGCACCCAGCGCTAAGGAGGACACAATCAGACTCTTGCTTGGGCCGCCGCTCTCTCGCCGGTGTCCAAGTGGGGCTCCTCTCCCCTGTGATGGCAGGGCTCGTGCTGGCACAGGCTGGACCCCTTGTTGCTGTTGGTACCTCCTGCTGCAGTTTCTGGGACAGCTCCAAGTCGCTAAGACCCGACGTGCCCTGTGGCTGCTGCTGCTGCAGGGACAAGGCGGTCAGGTAGTCCTGGTCTACCTGCTGCTGCTTTTCTGGGGAGCCACTCCCGCCTTCTGCTCCAGGCCCCTTGCCCAGGGAATGACCCAGGTGAAACAGTCCACCCCGACAGCATTCTGTAAATGCAATGCTCTAACACTGCCATGACCGCACTTGTCTCTACCAGTTAGGGGGAAATCCCTTTACAGACTTACCTGGACAGCTTCCACTGGCATCTTAACAATATTCCCCTGATTAAAATAAGGCATAAAAGACACTGATTCTAGTGCTTCTTCGCCTGACATTTGACAATGATGGTACAGGTTATCAATCAGAACTTCAGCCCTGACTGGTTTGGCTCAGTGGATAGAGCGTCGGCCTGCGGACTGAGAGGTCCCAGGTTCGATTCCGGTCAAGGGCATGTACGTTGGTTGCCAGCATATCCCCAGTGGGGGGTGTGCAGGAGGCAGCTGATCGATCGATGTTTCTCTCTCATCAATGTTTCTAACTCTCTATCCCTCTCCCTTCCTCTCTGTAAAAAACCAATAAAATATATTTTAGAAAAAAAAAGAACTTCAGTTATTTGCTTTAAGTGTTAACTTGGTCATAACTTTACTTCTTTCATTTCGATCTAGCCAAAACTGACATGTAACCAAAAGTTTCGATACTCGTTTTCTGGTAGAATTAGTGCTTCTGTTGAAAGCAATTTTGAGTGATGGCAAAACTATTTCAATACGTGCAGCATGTTCTGGGACAGTGGTTTTCAACTAGGGATTCCTGTCATCTACATATAGCTTTAGGTGACTCGGACCAGGCCTACTAGATCTTGTTATTGATCATCTTTATATATCCCTACCACATACGGTAAGAATATGCTTAGCATTCATGGTATATTGCATGGTACACATGCTTTGGCTATTTGCAGTATAGTATGTCTCTAGAAAATTAACATTTTCCTATATTCACCCATTTTTTCAAATAAAATATAATTGTTGCTGTCTTTTTTTTTAATAGCCTTTGTGATTATGTATGTAGATATTTTTCTAAAACTTTCTTGGATTAACTTTTTATTTTTTTTGCATGACACATGGGGGGAAAAACAAATTTCTTGTCCGGTGCATTAATCTTGTTATAATTCTCATCAAGCCTTTCATATCTGAAAATTACCAGTAATAAATTAACCACCATCATTTTAGGTCTTTTGTCATCCATGGATATATTCCTTAGCTTGTTGAATTTGATGCTTCCCTAAAAGCTTTTGCAATCAGCTACAGGCCAGTATGGTTCCTCTTCCATGTAGAATGGCTGCTCAGAGCCCCACAGAAAAAGATTACTTGCCATGTGCTTAGGGGCACAGGCTTCTGATGGCATCACTTAAAGAACATTAAAGCCATACCAGTGGACCAAGTCAGGATTTCCACAACTGCAGTCAAGGGGCAGATGGGTTCATAGACTACTATCCCCAGATCCAGTGGAACAAGAATCAATTACACAGGACTGAATGAATTGAGGAGGAAAGATGGTTGTTTTTGTTTGGAATACTGTTGATGTCACCTTCATGTTCTGTATTCTGCATATATAAGGAAGCCCTCTGTCTTTCCTCTTAAGCTTCTTATAAACCACAACAATGCAACAGACTCTGCTTTTATAAGTTGAAAGGAAATATTTGTACGTGATATTCTCTCTGCCTGACCCCTCCAGAATTTAACAATTCTTATTGAGTCTTTTCACTATTTATGGCAATACAGTAATTTGCCTGGCTCAGTAAGAATCTGTGTTCCTTATTACCAGGGAATAACTGGAAACTGGTTATGCAACCAAGGCCTTGACTGGAGTGTGGGGTGAAGAATGGCGCTCATTTAATCAGATGTGACCAGATGCTTGTGAAGAACGAAGATGGACTTTATGGCCACAAAGTGTACTGACAAAGCCTCTTGGGAAACTGGCCTGCTACTTGGTCTAGTATAACCTGCCCAAGACAAGAAAAGTTGTCAAAGCAGTAACGCTGCTGACAGTGCTTACTCTCATTTCATAAGTATACATTTCTACATAATTGTCAAATGTCTATTTTTAGCCTTAGCACAAGATTAATTTCCTTGCTGACTTCTCCACAATGTTGTTTACTACAAAAGGACACTCTGACAATTGATGATTTACGGAGATGCTATAATATCACCTCCATAAATCATCAGGTCTGTCTTCCCAAAGGAAACCTGAAGGACTTTCCCGTGTGCACACATAAACACCTCTGAACACTGACAGCACCGGAGGCTCTGGCCGGGCTGTGCTGCTAGTTGTTGGATGAGCCTTGTGCCAATCACCTCAGCTCCCTGGGCCTCAAGCTCCTCCTCTGGGAAGAGAAGGATCGGGACTGGCTGGCCTCCGGGGTCTCTCTAGGCCGGTTTTCTCACCCATGGCCTTCCCGCTCTGCCACTGAGTGAAGGAGAATGTCATGCAATGTGACGGTACCTAATCACAAACCAGGCGGATCTAAAACCCGAGATTCAATATTTTTAAATGGGATCAGATAAAACGGAGCAGAAGCTGAAATAGATGTACATATTTTAGTACAGATACATCTCAAAACAATGTTGTTGTTTTTTAAAAGCAAGTTGCAGAACATTCCAAAAAATATGATACCAATTTGGCATTAAAAATATAGAACATATGTATTGCTGGTGGAGATAAACATATAGTTTTATAAATAGATGTGTTTGTGTGTTTTTTTAATTCATGGTATTTAATTCATGGTATTTTTTTAATTCATGGGAGGGAAACAGGTGGGAGGGAA